ACATCACAGTAATAGCAGGGTATTTTGTAAATTGTGATAATAAGGCTGATTGCGTCAACCTACAGGGTGCCTAAGCCTGCAGAGATTGTCCTACTGAATGAGTTTGTAGGTTAAAATGCCACTTTAATTCATGCTTCATTAAGAATCTTACGTAGGGTCTCAGATATCACCTCCTTACATAATAAAGTCACTGTGAATGCCTTATATTTTCTCTTATTTATGTTGTCATTACCATTTTCACAATTATTTTTATTTCCCTTCTGACCTTTTTCATATTCCTAATGAAATTTATAGAATAGTTGTTCTACAATAACGCTTCTTCTGTCAGTTTCATTTCATCATTCAGGTCTTTTCTTGTACTAATTGGTGTTTCTTCTCCTTTTGTTAGACACTTAACCAAGCCTGTCTTAACAGGTAATGGATGAGATGAATTAGAGTCTAAATATCTATTAAAATGCGCTTGTTTTCATAAACGCGAATGTGCAGTCCGGCCTCTTCTATTCCTCTTATTTTACATTCTAACATCACAGCTAATTCTCCTTGTTCATTTTCCGATTCTCATATTATATATTCCTTTATTGGTGAGTTTATATGTATGAAGAAACTAGAGGTATCTTCTGTTTTGAACACTGCGAAAGTGTCATCAACAAATCTGCATCATTTTTGGAGTAGGATTAAATAAATTAAGGGTCATATTTCCCAGCTCTCCATAAAGATTTTTGCTACGATAGCGGATATTGGTGATCCCATTGCTACACCTTCTGAATTCCTTTATTAATTACCTCAATTCGCATCTTCGACGGATGGGTGAGTTCGGGATCTGCAGTGAGTTCTTTCTTAACTGCTTCTAAGGCCATATTGACTGGTATATTAGTATAAAGACTAGTTATATCAAAGCTAACCTTCATCTCATAGGGATTAGTTAGTCTAGAGACTAAACGATATCTAATTTAGTCTAATCGACCAGTCTCAATATGTTCAGTTACTTTCTTGATATAGTCCGATTTATCCGAACCTCTTGTAGAGTTTCCTTTTTCAGCTTTTGCAATGACGATGTTTTTATCCTGTTCTAGACTGATTAGAGCTGGTTCTTCAAATTTTGTTGAGTTTTGATTTTTCAGGTTTGATGCAGATTGTATTCGAACCTCTACTGCTGTCGTCTTATCTATTGAACTAAGTGATACGTCTATGTTAGGAATGACATACTCTGGCTTCAATTTAGTAACTGCCATGTTGAAATTTACTCCTTTCTTGAGAAATTCCAGCCCACCAGAGCTAAATTCTTATGATCACACACTTTTTTCTGTAAACGTTGTTGTCTTCTTCATCATTTATTAGGCTGTCCCTTTGATTTTCTCAATGCTGTTTCTCCAGCTTTTTCTCAAACCAGTTCCATATGATGTGACTGAACGCAAAATTGAAGATATTCAAATTTATTTATTTATCAAAAGTAACATTGCATGATCAAGGTGAAAATATTAGTGCATTTTCACATGCAGCAGGAGTTTCCTCAAATGGAATATATGCCGCTGCAAACATTATGAGCATTTCTAACCATAAACAGAAGGCTCGAAATATTATTGTGCAATAAACATCTTTATATGCGGTGCAAAATCGCAGTCTATTCACCGTCAAGAAAAAGGCCTACAATGTAAGAAAATTAAGTTATATCAAATGAATTGTTAATTCCATCACTCTCAAATATTCCGTTCGCTTTAACGTCTAATAAGCTACGCGGAGAAGATATATGTGGTGCGGATCTACCGGGGAACTAGAATGCGACACTCAAGCACACAGACACAGAAATGCATTGTTTCTTCCACTTAAATAATGAGCATTTGGAACTAAGCGTTTCATCTTCTAGACAGAGAAAGTGACTTCTTATGTAAACTTCCTCTTGGTCAGATATTTTTGAAAGACCATCAGAGAATGTCAAGAGAGGAGATGCAGTATGAGAGTGATTGCTAAGTCATGAGACTACTCAACCTCCACATTTTGTTCATTCAAATGGTGAGGAATTGAGTTCATAAATGGACAGCTGACTGAGTACAAGTTCCTGTCTCTGGTATTTCGATGCAAATTCAGTCTAAGTTGAAATTTCCAAGCAGTATGAACAATCATCTCTCTAACAGTTGGTATGTGTTTCTGTGAATCGAATAATTGACTTGTGAAATAACATGTCCACACATTCACAGGTATTCAGATGTAACCAAACTATTACGAACAACAAGCTTTCAGAACGTATTAGCACTCAGATAGTCAAGGGAAGTTGACCCAACTGCAAACAATTTTTTCACCTTACTGCACTTAAAACTATTTTCCATACATCATGATGGAACTTACTAACACCATAGCGAAAAGGAAGCAAACTCCAGTGGCGATTTTCAGGTTCTCCTGAAAACATGAAAAAATTATAGGGTAACTGTGAAAATAAATCAATCGAAAGTTTTGGTTTTCTGATCTCCAAAATGAAATTTTAACATTTAAAACTATCGGTGAACCAATGTTTCAGACGTAACCATGGCTAAAATGGTTCACAATCACTCGAGCGTAACCGACTTTGCAAAGTAAACCAGCTGAAGTAATTACTCGCGAACATAAGTTTATATATTTCGGATATTTCAGTAAGACCAAAGTCATACGGTGTTGTTAGGCGTTTGATAGTACGCCATCGTCGATTAGCATCATAAATTTCAAAACACCTCGGATTCCGGTCACGTTGTATGCAGGTGGAATTCAAACTATTCAGATGTCAGTAGGCATAACAAATAACAAAATCGTAATGAGATCGTTTAACAGATTACTTTCACTGATCTGACAAGGATACCCCACAGTCGTTATATTTTCAAACTTCGACACACTTGACTTACAGCGAGGAACTCCCTTAATGTCAAAATTCGTTGTCAACAAGACAACACCTCACTCTCAGTGAAAACATCTCATATCAAGTTAAAATTGTCAAAGACTGTGATATATTACGCATTTGTTTTTGGTTGTTACCTGTTTTCCCTCCTTTACGAATTCAATAATGAACATAATAATTCCCCTGAGAAGTGAAGCACATAAAACTGAGTAAAGTGTAATAGTTAATTGGAAATTCGAATCTCTCATATATAGAGCCATAAGGAGTACAGCTGCAGTCACTACAAGTGTCAAACCGATGGCTGTCAAAGCTGTATATAAATAAACAGTATTGAACGCAGTGGCAAAGCCCATTGAGCATAGTGTGAACTAAAATGAAAAAGCAAGATGTTATATTGAAACATTATTGCAATTAAGAAGTACACATGAATGGTAGACGGATTTGTTGATGGGGCAAATTGTATTGAGAAATTTCAGGCTCTATTGCATTTTTGAATTTTCATTATTACTCCCTGAAATTCACTGGTCTTTATACGACTAACAGACGACTGCAAAACAAAATACCAGGTCCTCGATCTTCGACCGCATTTAACAAGAGTTTACAAATGTGTAGATGGCAATCCCCTTGATAAATTAATGATTCATTTTTTCAACGAGAGTGGACGTAGTGAATTTATGTGAGGTTATTCGCACTGTGAAATCCTTGTTTCAGAACTTGTGTATCACTTGTTGATTTCATGTGCTGCTTTGACATGCGGTAAAAATGTAGAGACAGCTATGAGAATACTGAGTCAACGTTACTTCAAGTACTAGTGATTGTGGGATTATTAGGAACTCAGCAATTTGCTTAGATTATTCAAAGGAACTTCACAATTCTGAATGTGATTGATGCTTTTAAATATGTGAGTAGGAGATTGATTTCATGTTTGCGTTGAATGAAGAACGTCTCCTCGTGAATTGGATATCAGTATTTCATGTGCTGAACAAATCACAAAGACACACTTCAGACTGAGATTCCGTCAAGAATAAGGACCATCTCTTCACATTCGAACTATATTTCAGGGTTTGTCACGCATTCGCTACACATAGCTGCGTGATTCACATCTCCAGAAAATGTCATTGTAATAGAAAGTGGACTTCATCGAGAAAGTCATGACTTCAGTCGAGATGAATAGTGACGTCTGTTACTTAATAAAGATATAATACTCTACTCCAAGCAGACAGCAACATGCGTCGCCAAAACACATTGCACATGTATTATAAACACATAGAAACGTCGGAATGCTTGATGAAAACATTGTCGCAATATCAGTTTTTATCAGCAAGCCTTATGATGCAGCTGGTTACAGCTCGATTAGATATCATCAGTTATGAATACCACCTACAAAGTCTTAAATCATCTTCTTTATATTTTACGCGGTACACCAGTCTGGTGAGATGGCTGTCAGGCGAAAGCAGCATATGAAAGTGTGAGCCAAATTACTGACGAATGTGCAACAGGGTCAGGGAAATAGTTTCCAAAGTGGGAAGGACCACATATGATCACTTCGAGATGGGATTACGCAGATACAATAGCAATAACGAACAATGAGAGGCGCGTGAACGTTAGCGAGCTCCAGAAATTGATACAGCGAGACAAGCCAACGACGACGCTTGCACCAAGAAGATCAAGCCGACTTCAGTCGCAAGTCTTTGACGGGGGAACGAGTGTGATGAGAGCGGGCTGCTAGACAATTGGTAGACATTAATCTACGTCAATGTCTAGGTCACTAATATTGGCCGTGAGAAAATATGAACAAGGCTGATACAACAACCTATCACAGCAGACTTAAACATGGGCAGATATTATTCGCAGATAGATGGCTCCACTTTCAGAGGAACTCGAAAACAACCAATCAAAAGACTGCGTTTGTCTACTTGAATAATCTATAATAATGTACAGGAAATATATATAAATACGTGCTGATTTCCGTAATAAAATGATTTGTTGCCGGCCCTTGTCTTCTCTTGTTACTTATTTACCTCATCTTTTGCATCAATTATCAGCTTAAGTCGTTTGTGTGTATATGAATATTGAACGTTACTCACTAAATACATTCGAAATGATAAATCTGACAGACAAGAATTGAATCACTTACACTGAATCCGATCAGAAAATGATCAATTTCACGACGATATCCGAGGAGTTTCAGTAATGAGAGAACAAGAATTGGAAGTGTTCCAGTTGATCTGAAATGAGTAATTAATATTGGTCAATTAAATCTGCTTTCAAATCGAGCCCAATATTTGCATCATCAAAGTGTTATTAAATGACTCAATATGGTACTGTTGATATTCTTTGTGACTATATATCTTCTAGTTGTTTTTCATTTCCTTTTCCCTTAACTTATTTGAAAGATTTATTACTATTATGTACTGACAACGTCCGTTTCAGGTTTGAAGGTGAACACTTTCGACAAGTGAATGTCGTTGCTATGGGGAGTCCATTAGGACCTTCGTTAGCTTATGTTTACATGTCTTATGTTGAAAACTTATCCTTTGATTTAATTTCTCAATTGCTTTTCTATAAGGGATATGTAGATGATATCATTTTAATATGCGACGATCATAAAGATGCGAGTCGTCTATTAGACAGACTTAACTCTGTACAGAATCATATTGGTCTTACAGGTGAGGAAGAAAGTCGCAACCAGCTTGCAATTTTAAACATTCCGCCGAGTCGAAGAGACGATGGCTCAATAAGACGGTCTATCTACAGAATGCCCACTTAGACAGGGCAATACCTCAATTTTCACAGTTTCTGTCCATTACAGTATAAGAGAGGCTTGGTGAATTGTCTATTTAAGAGGATTCAGTTTATTTCCACGGTTGATGTTATAAGCAAAGAAAACGAAATATTGATGGTTACTCTTATTGAAAACGGATATCCTTTAAAATGTTCAAACAGATGTAGAAGTCAACTAGTCTCTAAACCTACAATCCATACCACCCTTAGGAAAAACATTATTCATCAAATTACCATATAACGGTGAAATAAACAGTAGGATTTTGAGACAAAGGTTGGATTCTATTATCCGTAGAACCTACTACTCAGCCCAGCTTGTAATTGTGGAAAAAGCTAAAAATATGCTTCACTGTAAACCTCAAAAGTGCACAAGTGTATATGTCACATCCCACACAATTTACCAATTTTCGTGTGTGTGTGGACACACATTTATAGGGAGGAGTAACGGCCCTTTGCACATGAGGGTAGGAGAGCATATCCCAAAATGGTTAGAAAAACAAATTAATTGTGACAAGCCAACAGATGCAGGTGTCAGACTACCGACTTCGTCTATAGCTAAACACCTAATCGAGATGAACCATAAGATTGATGTTAACTGAGACTTTAAGGTCATCTATAAAAACGGTCAAGGGCGCTTACCGAAATAAACTGAGGCTATAGCTATTCATAAACTTAAGCACCCCTTGTGTGTTCGAAAACAGTTTGTTATTATTCTCAACCTACCTTGGTAATCTTTATTTGATTGGATTACCAAACGTTTGTATTAATTATTCTTAATTCTTCTCTTTGTCACTTTGTTTAATTTAACTTTTTCATGAATGTTGACTTGACAAGTAAATGTGTGATAAAATTGTTCGAAATGAATAGCACAAATACATCACATTTTTTAGACAATCTCCATCTTCTAATAACGCTGTCAAAATTTATAATAGGCACTAATTGTTTTAGCTTGTTACAGCTGCAATAACCATCTGTTATATGATATCTGACTGGCTAAAGGTTTCTTGTAAATTGTAGGAATTCCCTACTATTTAAAATGTACCTGCATATATGCTACCAGTAGTTACGTAACATTCATGCAATTTATACGCAGACAACAGAACAAACAGAGAATAAACAATGCAAATATCTGAAATCAACAACCTCTTCATGATGCCAAATGGAGACAGACAGGTAACTCATAACACTTTCCATTCAAAGCTGTGTGCATAATTTTCATGAGGATATGTTGATGGAAAACGTTATAAAATGGACTTACATCAAAACAATTGTCACCCAGCTGTGGTTTTCAATCCAAAGACAAAATTCTTTCCTGTCAAAAAAACACAATTATTTTGCTGATGAGATTCTGGCCTACACTTTGTTGACTATAACAACCATTGTCAATGTCACTAAAAGCATCAGGAGTGTGTCAATTACCATCTGCATGGAGCAGTTTCATAACAATGTGTTGATTTTGAAATAATAGAAAAGATTTGTAACTCAGGTGGATGATTTGCAATTGATAGTGTTCTCTGAGCTCCTTGGTTTAATTGCGGAGCTTTCATCGTCTTTCTGGACGACATCTTCAGCGCAGTATTTAGGATAAAGTGAAATGATTTAAATTTCTTCATGAGTCTCCCGGTAACCAACTAATAAGAAGTAAATCAGGTGATCAGAAAGTTTAAAATCCCAATCAATAGAAAACGGTCAATAAATATCTAAAGATGGTTACCGGGAGACTCATGAAGAAATTTAAATCATTTCACTTTATCTTAAATACTGCGCTGAAGATGTCGTCCAGAAAGACGATGAAAGCTCCGCAATTAAACCAAGGAGCTCAGAGAACACTATCAATTGCAAATGTGTTGATTTCTTACCCAGAGGAAGAAGTGTAGAAGTCTACCTGTTCTCGGGCTCAAATCTGTAGCTTTCAAATGATTGAGTTTTTCCTGTTTCATGGATATATTTCGACCTATAGAATATTTTCAAAGAAACACAATAGTTTGAAGATTAACTTAACCCCATGTTCAGAGATGAGTATGACATAAATTGCTGGGGAAGAGAGTATTCACAAGCAGGCAGAATTCAATATATTATTTGTTTTATGCCAATCTTCAGTGTGATGAGGCATGTTTGCAGCTATTTATTACGAAATATATTTTTCGTTAAACGACAATATTTATGTTGCATGTAACAATTGTCCCTCAGGAGTCATAACATGAGAAGTTTCAAAGTGGAAGCGGATAAGCGAATTAGCATAAATATCCGTACTGTCTTTAATACGTCCATTGCTAACATCAAGTACTGTTGTAATACTTATGGGCTTTTACATACTTAAATAGAGATGTCATAATGAAATCATCACATGATAACATGCTCTGTCTCTCCACCCTTACTTTTCTAAGTGCATTATCACTCTTTCCGTTGTAAACAGGATTCAAGCTTTCAGAATGTGAATTTGTCAGAATCATTTAACGTTGAAGTGATTTATTATTGTCAGTATGTGAAAGTATAAGGTCGTGCTGATCTATTAACCTTTTTTATACGGTCTTTATCTCACTTTATGGCAGGTCGAATACCCTCAGGCTACATTAGCCTCTTTTTCGTCCAGTTCACTATCACCAGACAACGTTCACCTACCAATTACTACATTCTAGATAAAACGTAATTTTTCAAAAATAATGGCCGCTGGATTCTCAGTTAATCAATCGCTGCTCTGCCTTTCGATACGTAACTGTACATGAATCAATCAAACTTCCTTCCATGATTCATCTTCGATGACAACCATTATTGACGTTCATGGATATTTATGAACAGATAATTTGCAGAGCGCATACAAAGTTATGTACATGATCAGCAATATAAATCAAGTTGGTGAAGATACGAATTGTACTTAATGAAACTAACAATACATCTGTCGTTCAAAACTTACCCATCATGCGTTCAGAGTTCTTTTCTCATGATTGAATAATTCATCGAATGTTTTATATAACAATGTTGCTTATTTTGTCTGTCTAACTAGCTGAAAAACACTTAAACTTTTGTCTTCAGACACAATCAAAACATTTTCATTTTATTCTAATGATTGATGTGAACGCATCAATGATATTCTACAAATTGTTTTTGTTTTGATGAGATATCTTTAACAATTGGTTGGTTTACTGTTACTCCAATTCAGCTAGCTTACATAAACCAATCGCAAAAGTTCAGTGGCTTTGCCATAATCTCCCAATACCTTAACGACTCATGTCTGTAATTACTGCAATTATTCATTACACGACAAAACAGCTCACGGTTTTTATTCGTCAAGTATTGATTCGCAGGGATTTGATTGGTTGAAACGTTGGTCCACAGCTGACATCAGTGACAGAAAAACTGGAATACCTGGGAGTTATGGACATGTGTTCATCGTAATTTGGGACTGTAACTCACTGGAGTTTGAAACCATGACCTTTCAGTAGGAGATGAGGTCGTGTAACACTCAACCACTGGAACAGGTCCCAATGATCCATACCATGTAACTTCTGTTTATTTAATAATGATGCGAAATATGAGAATACAAATCCGGGTTAATGTAGAAATATAGAAAAACAGATGACGAGTTATTAGAATTAATGGTTATTTGATAACACAATAACAGTCCTCTGCTTTACATTATTAGCATAATCCTCAGAGGCGTTCACTTCTAAGGGTGCATTCCCTTCTAGAATTTGTATACCAGTTTCAGAATAGTCTTCGGATGACGATGACAGGTTCCTGCAAGCTTCAGAGTATACAACACGTTAGATAGTGAAGCAAGTAGACAGTGCGGACCAGTGAGAAGACGAAGCGACATGCGGCATGCTTAATTCTGATTGTAGTCAATGGTTACGTGGATATTTACAATGTGTCATCTTAAACAAAAAAGTTATGTACAATGTTTCACTTTGTAACATTTAAAAAAGTCTGCATAATCATATTGAACAGGAGCTGATATAAAATAGAGAATCTTTGAAAAAACTGAGAGCACTTGACAACTGCTTCGCCCTCCTTTTTAATGGATTCAATATTGCAGCTTGCAATGAACCTGTTTCAGAATATAATGTTCACATTTCCTTCCAATCTGAAGTGGAATCTTCTAAATCGTGCTGAAATCACAACCCTCTGACTAATGCTACAGAATTATCGTGTATTTGCAGTTAATAGGGTTCTCTGAGCTGGTCGGTTGAGTTGCGGAGCTTTCGTCGTCTTTCTGAACAACATATCCACAACTAAACCAACCAGTTTAGAGAAACAACGCCACCTTGACTGAAAGTTCAAAGCCTATGCGTCGGTGGCACAGTGGTTAGGACTCTCGCCGACAATGCACATGGTCCGAGGTTCGATCCCCTGCCGATGCACAGCTGATATCTATATTAGGCCTGCGAAATTTGTGCTACCAATATCCATGCTGAAAATTCCATACTTGTACCAAAAATACAGT